GATCGCCCGCTATTCGGAGGTGTTGTGTTTGGCCCGTTTTCATCACATGCCTGTTCTCCCGACTCCAATAGTCGATAAAGCAAATGCGTCAAGCCAAACTATAATAATTTTAAATCAGCATCATGAACCTTGCGCAAAATTCACCTCCTCTGTCTGTTTTGGTCACCATCTCCAAATTTATTGGGAACTTGGTGCTTGTATTTCAGCTAGTTTGTGTGTGGATTGCTGAGGATTTTGCAGCACTGCAGAAACAGCTTGTTTTAGAGCAAAGCCACACTGGGCTATTTGCTGTGTCCACCGCGCAGAACCGAACTCCGGATTTTAGCATTGAAAGCCCGTAAACTTATCGCTGTCCCACCGGGGATCTGCAGAAACAGTAACTTCCTCATGGATACCATCAGTAGCACTTCAGAAAGCAAATAAAACATCTGACGCGCGATACTGCTGTTTATAGAAACAAGCTGTTTTCGCCAAAGGCGCATATATAGATTAGATTAAGAATGCGTTGCCAATAACTCCCCACACAATCACTGCATGGTAAGCTTAGGTGCTTATAATAAACGTTAAAAATCAGGGTTCGCTACTCGCTGGTGGATACAGTGTTAATAGCCAAACGTGAATGTAATTTTGCGCTTAAATATAAAAATCAAACAAACAAGAGAATAATGATATTGAGATATATTACGGAATATCTTAGATCAGTATGACAGCGGTAAGTTTACGTATTGATTTCACGCGGGGGACACAGCAGATAGCTCATTGTGGCTTTGATCTGAATCAAAAATAAATAAACTTTCACCAGAAAGGTTTCTAGAAATTTTCAATAAAAAATTACAATTAATAATAATATGTCTTAATTATGGAATTTAATGTTATGTATTAAATCGATCTAATAGTGTAAGAGACAAAAATACGTGTTTAATTAAATATAGTTAATACTGTAAATTACATAAACTCACATAAACTTACGTCTTATTTAGTACAGAACAACGGTATAACCTGTGTGTGTATTACCTCTCGTTATACTGTGTAAATTACATAAACACACATAAACTTATGTCTTATTTAGTATTTAAGATGATCAGTACTTAAAAGGGGAGAGATAATTTAAGAAAACTTAGTATAGAATTTGAGGAAAGTTAGAGATAAGACATATAGTTTTAAATCTCTATGGTGTTATAAACGCTTAGACTTATGTTGTAGTGCATAAGGTTAGGACAAAAAAGTTATTTATATCCATGTTAAATCTCTATGGTGTTATAAACGCTTAGACTTGTGTTGTAGTGCATAAGGTTAGGACAAAAAAGTTATTTATATCCATGTTAAATCTCTATGGTGTTATAAACGCTTAGACTTGTGTTGTAGTGCATAAGGTTAGGACAAAGAAAGTTATTTATATCCATGTTAAATCTCTATGGTGTTATAATCGCTTAGACTTGTGTTGTTAACATGGATATAAATAACTTTCTTTGTCCTAACCTTATGCACTATATAATGAGTCAAATTGAATTAAATTATGTGTCAAAGGCTAAATGCTTAAGATTGTGTTTGAGTATACGTTTAAGAAGAAGCAAGTTATTTATATTCTGTACTGACAATACTAATCATGTGATTTATACTGAGTCAAAGACCACACCATGGACAACATCTAACTTAGCATAACTTATGTTATTGTTGAATAAAACGAAAACTTTAACCTTGAAAGGCGGGATGCTTAGGTTTATGTTGCAGTATGTAAGACGAGGATAAAGAAATTACTAAACTGTTACACTTTGTGTGTGTGTGTATGTATATGAGTGGGGGGTGGAGTGAAACCGAAGATCTCTAACAGCTTCGTATTTACACTAAAGTACGTGGCTCTTTATTACAAAATAAATTAGTTGTTGTTTTTTTTTAAAGTATACCTCATAATTCATTATTGTTACTTTTTTTATAAAATTTCATTCTTAAAACAATTTAGAAAAAATGGAGATGAAATTAATACCTTGTATAGCGCAAACATACACACGCACACAAATATATATATACAGTATTGAAATTGAGAATGGAAACAGTGAGGATAAAGCTATATAAGACGAATACTATGGGATACTACCCCTTTATCGTATGTAAATGAACTCCTCCAGAGTACAGTAACGTATTGATAGTTTATGCTGTGAGTGGTTGTCATCGAACTGATCAGAAAATGGCATATTAATATAAAGCCTATAATAATATATGTAATCATACTATGCCCAATAGTAGTAGTTAGTATCTAGTCATGGCTCTTAGGACAGCAGTAATGTAAGATTAGCATGTAGAAGTAAAAGATTTAGCTGATCAAGGATACTCCATGTGAAAATTGCGACGAGGCTACATGTTTCAGCAGAAACTTTAAGCATGTGGTCTAAAAAGAGTATGAAAAACTGACAATAATAGAATTAGTCGAGACCAGAATATGCCCAGAAGTGATGTTAAGCAGCTCAGGGTATAGAAGATGATAAAGTACAGTAAATACGAATGTCAATGTTACCTCGAGAACTGTAAGATACACATAAGTACAAAGTGGTGTCAATGGACGAGTAGCTGTTGGAAAGTAACTAAACCAAAAGGTCGAAATGAGTATCGTATCACAAACAGTGGAATAAGCAAACCTGGAGACGTGTATACTTTAGAGATGAATCAAAGTTCGAATTCGGCAACAACTGACAGTATGTTCGACGGCGGAGAGGATAATGGTATCGTAGTCAATGTTCAGCATCTGTAGTGAAGTTTAGTGGTAATCAGAGAGGATAACGGTATCGTAGTCAGTGTTCAGCATCTACAGTGAAGTTTAGTGGTGACCAGAGAGGAAAATGGTATCGTAATCAATGTTCAGCATTTAGAGTGAAGTTTAGTTGGGAACTGCATCTCGGTCAAAAATGTCTACACAAAACTGATGGCAGCCTGACTACTGACAAGTACAGCATATTCTGATCAGGAACACAACTTGTCGGGTGGGGATTCGTCTTCCAGAAAGACAGTTATGCCAAATATACAGCAAATGTGGTGAAACGATATATCTAGGCGGTAAATAGGCTGATGGAACACTTACAACCATGGCTTAGCCTGCACTAAGTCCTTATAAGAACATTCTTAAGGATTTATGGGATTATGCAAAAACTGAGAAGGTCAAAAGTGAACCAAACAACGTGGATTAATTGTAGGAACAATATTCCACAATCGTACATTAGTAAACTGTGTGGCAGCATGAAAATAAGATATAACCTGTGTAAAGCAAAGAGCTCACATACAAAATACTAGGGCATTATACAACGAATTCGGCTTTATTTTTATTTGCTGTTTCGTATCATTAATAGAAATTATTATCTTTTTGCTATTACTCGTTGTTTTTCACTCCTCTGTGTGCATCGCTTTTGTTTCTCCATAATTATTTATATTATTGTTGTAATACGCATGTGCTTATGTATATATACACACACACACACATCAGCCAGAAACGGAAAAGTTAATGAGTTTCAGTATTTGACAATGTCGATAACATGGAATAATAGATAAAAGGAAAATAACTCGGTGAAAATCATGTTCTAGGCCTTGTATTTATCGGTGCATTCATCTTTACAAGTATTAAAAAAACATTTTGTAAATGCAAGATGACATTGGGTTGGCAATACCAAAAAAGAAAAAAGAAAAATAATGCAAACAAGAATATAGGGATGATACAGCTATACAAAGGTCATCGCTACATGATTTTAAATATTATTTTTTAATGTTACACTGTAAAATGCACGAGTAGAAAATGATTATAAGGTCGGTCAATTCGAAGCAAGAGTCTGTATTAATAAAGACATGTTTTGACTCTACATGGTTTTCCTTGTACGTAAGTCCTAGGCTCTTTGTTACACTACATTGATGCCTCCCCTGACATGGCTATGATATTATGATAAACAAACTGCATACCAACAGTCAGGAATATATAACTTCCAACTGCAGCAATAATAAAGTCAAGTATACATTTTACAGTGTAACATTAAATTTTAAAGTTATGTAGCGATGACCTATGTATAGCTGTATCATCCCTATATTCGTTTTGGTACTGCTATCCCTACATCATTTGACATTTATGAAATGCTTTTATTACTTGTTTTGTGACGTTTTTCCCTGACTAAAAGTTAGTGTATTTTATGAATGTGTATACTAAATTTAATACTGTGTGTATCGATTTTTTTACTCCTTCATTTCATACATAATATAGGGATTGGATCAATAAAGTCTCAGCTTGTATAGTGTAAAAAGCAATGAGTATTCTACATGTTACAGTCATCTAATGTTCGTCTATTATTGGCTGGTAATTCCTGTTTCACCCTGTACTTAAACTTTTTAAAGGAACACTATATTTCTGTACAAAAGCAAACATCAAGGGGTAAGGATAACATCGTTTACACTATAATTATGATTTTTTAAATTACTACGACCAAGCGATGACATCGTGCACTGCCCAAAAACGCATAGAGTGGATTTAGGTTTAAACTAACGTTATTGATAAAGTAGTTGTAGAGTTTTCTCTACTGAAACAAAAAGAAGAAAGATGAACAATTTGATGGGTTGATCACTTTCTGGTTTGGTATCTTAGCAATGTTTCTTGCCTTATTTTTGGGTTTGTTGGGTAGAAAATAAATGAAAGTTAGTGACAACCATATTTTAAAGTAAAACTCTCTGTCATTGTTGATTCTTTAGCATGCATATTTGTATTATGCCTATTGAGTACTGTGGCCATCTCTACATATAGCGTCTACTGAGTCTCTAACTTGTTTAATTCCATTCTGAGCCGTAGCTATGGTTTATAATTGTAAATAGTAATGCATGAACTTTAGTTTTAGTATTAGTTAATCATTGCTGATAATATGATTTTAGCCGTAGAAAAATGCAATTATTTTTGATGCATGAGACCTAGTTGTTACTTGTATTAATATGTACTTAGTCATCGTAACTTACAAACTATTGCAAGAAAAAGATAAAACTTATTGGTGAAAATCGATTTTATTAGAGTGCATAATCAGTCACAAATATACAATTAAGTTCAAATGGTCATTTGATAACTGGACATTTCGAAGGCATGTCATGGCATAATTCTACAAATACAGTAGTTTGAATTCAATCAAAGAAATTGACATTTTCCATTTAACTATGGGTATTGCTCAGGTATTGGGGTTATTAAACACACTAAAATAGTCAAGACAGGTCGAGATCTTTCGACTAGCTTCTCTTAGTATATAACAAATACGACGACTTCCTGTTACTCCAGAAAAACAAACTAGTGCTACTTTAATCTGTAGATTCATATCTTGTGTAAAAATCTTATATTCACAAATGCAACTTTATTAGTTCGTTGATATTAATGGAAACTTGGCATATTAACATTCATAAAATATATTTTATAAGTTGATACTAAAAAATAAGCAACATATTCAAGCGAATTATGTCAGCAACGAGTTAGAAACGGTAATAACAGTTTTAGTTCGTATTTAGTTTGAAACTGTCTAAAGCTACTAAGAAAAAGAGCCGTTACTACTTTCTTTTAAATGACATAAAAACAGCTTCAACATTTCAACCCTACGCGAGAAGTTTTCAACTCTAGAGATGAAATGTAGTGCGATAACAATTTAAACCTCTGTTACTCATTTTATCTAAAAAGTTGGTGAGTTCTCCGTATTACCTAAATTTTTATAAACTGGAAATAGCGATTTAAATCCCAACTGTATGTTTTAATCACTTTCTTTGCATTGTAAATTATGAAAAAAAAGCAGTTCTGTCTATCTAAAAGATTCACTATAAAGAAAAGCGTGAAGAACCCATCTTTCAATGATATTTTATTTTGAAATATGACAAACTTTAAGAGTTTCACCAAGATTTTTAAAATGCAATTGCCAAATATAATGTTTTACTTTTTAGTATTTCAGGTTCATTCGATAGGAGTAACTCCATACATTTTATATTATCATAAAGTTGAAGAACAACTGTTTTCGAAACCTTACATAGAATAAACGAAGGCACAAAATGTTTTTCTACTTTGAAAAAAGAAACAAGGCTTGTTTATACACCCAACCGAAAATAGTTCTTGAAAGATAATTTAAAAGATACGGTGGACGGTATGCGAAAAAGAAAGAGCGAGTACAAAAACGATTACAATTAATGATGCTAATTTTCTTCTTAAAGATCTTGCAATCACTAAGGCACTAACTAGTCTATTAATAGTTTAACTGTTCTACGTTTTACTGCAGCAATCCCCTGTTTTAAACAGTAGAATCGTTATCAATAACTTAGAATACACAAATCTGTATATTCCTGTACAGTACCCATCTTCCGACTATAAGCTAATACTAAAATCACAACATCATAATAATATGACGTCAAGTTTAAAACTGATAATGATGAACAGATGGAATGAGAAATATATAATTTCCATATAGTCATAAACTACAGAGAATATCATCCACAAATATTGATCAACAGCAATCTGATTCCAAAAATAAATCTACAAGCATGATGGCAAATGAAAACATCAACCTTGCTAAGACCAACAATGTTAGAAATCTTGTATATTTATGGTACTTGGCCATTATAATATCATTATTTAACAATAAATAAAAATCAGTTTTAAAACGACTTTTTAAATAAATTGCTAACAAATTCCATCTGAATTCACATTTGAAAAAAAACCATACAATCCCTTTTATTTTTAATATAAAAAGACGTGTATTTTAAATTCTAAAAAAATTAAAAATCATGGTCTCTTTGAAATTTCAGAAATATTTAGTTTATGACCATGACAGCTCAATGAGAAGTCTGCATAGTAGATATATGATTTTAAATTCTAAACACAAGAAATACCCAAAAAAGATATGATTGTCACCTGAAAGCATGTACACACACACACAGATATATATAGTGAAGTATTTCTTCTTATTATTTATTTATTTTAAAATTATATTGTTTCTCCCTTTAAAATCTTTTCAGGATACAGAATATTTATTTTCATGTCCTAGCTTAGAGCATTACATTTTGAAATTAAATACCTATATAAAGACAGTGCATAATATATAAGTGAAACTAAAAATTGGTTACACCTAATATTACTGAAGTTATCACAAAACTGCTAAATGTTCATTAACGTTAAATAGTCATAGCTATTATGAAGTAACCGCTCGAACATTACGAGTGATTAATTCACTACTGAAAACCAATCAAACATTTGGACGGCATCTAAAAGCACACAGAATCTGGCTTTAAACTAATGTCCTGCAATATACATTTTGTTCTTTAAAATAATAATTTATACGAATAATATATATTTAATCCTTTATAAAGTCAACCATATAAAGTTTAAAAAAGCTCAAGAAGGTTAAATCATATAACTACAGTACGAGCAGTTTTAACAAAACATTAGAAGTTCTTTGTTTTTACTTTGACGGAATGTTATGGAATTAAATTTTTTTATGAGCATAGATAACTCTTTGAGAAGTATTTTATTAGTTTTTATGTAATACTGAGTCATGTGTCACAGTCATTAAGCTGGTACACAGAGACAGTTGACGTAGCACAATACATTCACTTTAAATCTGGTCACTTAATAAGCATGTCTCTATGACTCACTCTGGATGATATACCACTTTGAGACAATAGAAACAGCGTTAACTTTGGAACTCGATACCATACACTGTTTATCCCTGAAAATTGTTGGACTGCTATTATTCTAGATAAATATATATATAGCAAAATGTGATTTATTTTTCTACACTATTACTCAACTATAATGTCAAAAAAAAGTATATTTTTTGCAACGTGCTATGACTTTATGATAGTGTATAATAAAAACAGTATCGTAAATGAAGTATCACTTTGGCATTTTCGCCACTGGAATGATTCTATATTTACATATAATAGAATTATTAATATCTATTTTCTTAGTGGTATTTCTTACCTCTTACCATTTTCTTTCATTATTTCTTTATCAGATTTGTAAACACTTCGAAATGTACATACTGCGAGTATAATTATCAGTCGTTCTAAATACTTTATACGTGATCATTTACTCGTTCTAAATACTTTATACGTGATACTTTATATGTGATACTTTACTCGTTCTCAATACTTTATACGTGATACTTTATATGTGATACTTTACTCGTTCTAAATACTTTATACGTGATCATTTACTCGTTCTAAATACTTTATACGTGATCATTTACTCGTTCTAAATACTTTATACGTGATCATTTACTCGTTCTAAATACTTTATACGTGATCATTTACTCGTTCTCGATACTTTATACGTGATCCTTTACTCGTTCTCAATACTTTATATGTGATACTTTACTCGTTTTCAATACTTTATATGTGATACTTTACTCGTTTTCAATACTTTATATGTGATACTTTACTCGTTTTCAATACTTTATACGTGATACTTTACTCGTTTTCAATACTTTACATGTGATACTTTACTCGTTCTCGATACTTTATACGTGATACTTTACTCGTTTTCAATACTTTATATGTGATACTTTACTCGTTCTCGATACTTTATATGTGATACTTTACTCGTTCTCGATACTTTATACGTGATACTTTACTCATTTTCAATACTTTTACGTAATACTTTACTCGTTTTCAATACTTTATATGTGATACTTTACTCGTTCTAAATACTTTATACGTGATCATTTACTCGTTCTCGATACTTTATACGTGATCCTTTACTCGTTCTCAATACTTTATACATGATACTTTACTCGTTTTCAATACTTTATATGTGATACTTTACTCGTTCTCGATACTTTATATGTGATCCTTCACTCGCTCTCGATACTTTATATGTGATACTTTACTCGTTCTCGATACTTTATATGTGATACTTTACTCGTTCTCGATACTTTATATGTGATCCTTTACTCGTTCTCGATGCTTTATATGTGATACTTTACTCGTTTCCAATACTTTATGCGTGATCCTTTACAAATGTATACGCCGTGAAACAGTTATTTATACTATTTTCAGCAGTACAGTCACAAACCAAATTAAAAGAAATAATTATAACTACTCTAAATCTATACGTTATACAAATATCAATATTAAATATAGGGCAAACAACAATTGGTCCAACCCAACCACTCTGTACCAATGATGATTTTTCAAATGAACCTGCGCATAAATAGATGAACATGAATATAATAATTAGCACGAAATTGTCAACTCAAAATTAACTCTGCGACTGCATCACAATTCTTCCTGAGAAACAGAGGCTTCTTAACATACAAGGAACTTTTACATAGCTTGACGAGAAGAATGTAAGTGATTGTATAGCCAAACATAAAATTCACATGCAATACTTGGTTATTAAACCACTGCATAGTCCTCACATAACTTTCCTTGACGCCGTTACGATGACATTTAAAATTCACATGCAACATTTGGTTATTAAACCACTGCATAGTCCTCACATAACTTTCCTTGACGCCGTTACGATGACATTTAAAATTCACATGCAACATTTGGTTATTAAACCACTGCATAGTCCTCACATAACTTTCCTTGACGCCGTTACGATGCCATTTAAAACAATATTCAGTTTTGATATCGTGAGTATAAAAACGTTAACTTTATATTCTACACTATAATCATGAGGATGTTAACAGAATCGGTATGTCATACGTTGACTTTATTTTCTACACCATAATCATGAGGATGTTAACAGAACCAGTGTGTCATATTTCTTGAACACCGAGAAGTTTAGCAGCAGAATCGGCAGAATCAAGCATCTGGTCAATGACTGTCGAATCATGAATTCCTAAGAGATTTTGGATTAAAGCATTCTCATCATCCGTTCCTCTGCAAACTTCTTGAGAATTTTTATTTTTAACAGATGATACTTGCTGTACCTCTGAAACTGTGTTACTGTTCCATTTTGAAGAGTAACCCAAACCTTTGGATTGGGGCAATAAATACAGTAAGGAATTTTGACTTGGATTTTTTCGTAATTTTGATCTAGATCTGAAACTTAAGTTCAGTGATGGGCAGTCTTCATCTGTGCTGTCGTGAAGAGACAAGGAGCCTTGACCTTGATGTTTCCGACGATGTCGAGTCATGCTATGTTTTAGAGAGAACTTCCGGTGGCAGATGTCACAAGCAAAGGGCCTTTCACCTGAATGCGTTCTCATATGACGTCTTAAGTCTTCTGTCGACCAAAAACGACGTAAACAAAAAGCACAAATAACTTTTCGTTGAATGTATCCCATTTGTTTATTTTTCAAATCAGTTTCTTCATCTTCATTGTTATTTACAGTGTTTATGTCTACTGAAGAGGGTATCGTACCGCCTTGTTCTGAAGCTTGCTGTTCCAAAGCTCCCTTGTTTATTAACAACTGGTATTCAGAGTTATGAGTTAGTCGTAGATGATCAAGGCATCCTTGTCTTTTGCCATAAGAATTCTCACAAAGATGACATTTGTAAGGTAGATCCAAATGTTGTCCAGTGTGGACTTCAAGGTCTTTACGGGAAGGGAAAGTTTTATCACAACACTGACAGTGCATACCATTCAAGTTTTTATGAAGTTTAGAATCTGGATCAGAACAATCATCTGTTTCTCTTTCACTGTGATTAATTGAATCTCCTTCTTCGTCTTCATATACTTCAATAGCATCGGAATGATCTTCGTAACGTTCATGGTTAATCAATTCTGAGTCTGAATAGTGAGAACTGAGAATTCCGCCTTTTTTCGTCCAGTGTTTTAGATAATAATGTTTTCGTAAATTTCCTGGCGTAGAAAAGGTGCTACTAGGACAAATATTGCACTTAAATGGTCTTTCAGGAACACTTCGTGAATGAATCTCACTGTTACGACCATGTTTACGGAGTAAGTGTCTCTCACAATTTGACTTTGTAGTGAACCAAATTGGACATCGAGGGCATTTAAAGGGTTTTTGTCCGGTATGCGTTAAAATGTGTCGACGTAGAGAACTTGTCCAAGGAAACTTGCGGGAACAAAACGGACATGAAACACTGTTTGGGGAATCTACATAGTAGCTTTTCTTCTTAGAAACAGTGTTAGTACTAGTAGATGGTGTGGTCTCTTCTTCCGAGACATTCTGTTCTTCTATGTGTGGCTTTTCTTTGTTGGAGTCAAAACTGTTGCACGATTGTTTTTCGTCTGTTCGAACATCCATTAAATATTGGTGAAATGCTTGAGAATTGGCAGTATCAATAAGAGCAGAAACACTAGCCAAATCTGCAGAAGTCTCTGAATCGTCCGCATTTGTTTTATTATAATCAGCGTTACTCAAGTTTGAATTATTACCATTAAAGTCATCCCTTTCGTTGTTAACGCTATCTGTTTTAAAAGAAGTGGAATGATGAGATTCTTCAGACATGGTTAAGTTGAGTTCTTGTCCTTGACCCTCACTTCCAATAGACGTATCATTGGTGTTCACTGGAAAGTCTTCTTGACAGTTTTCCTGCTGGCTACTAGACAAATCATGGGCTTTATTTCCAAGAACAAGAACTCGAAGAGCAGCTCTTGTCTTACTAGAAAGAGTAGGTGCACTAGGTTTTTGCACCGATGGGGTTAAATTGGGAATGAAGTTTCTACTTCTTGTGGGTCGTGCATATTCAGGGTGTTTTCTTTTAATGTGACGTTCCATGTTTGATTTTAAAGTAAAACCAGCAGAGCAATAGATACAAATAAAGGACCTTTGGTTACGTGGAGCCAACTTATCATTCACCATCTTAAAGGTCATGTAGACATCTTTTTGGCTCAGCATTCCAGATCCTACTAATGTTTTTATTGATAAAGGAACCATGCCTTGAGGAGAAGCAGCTGTTTTAGGCAACCTCTGAATTCTATCCACTGTCTGAATCTTAGATTCAGATAAAAGAGAAGGTGAAACATGGAACTTTTGTGGACTAGGTATTATGGAGGTAAAAATGCTATTTGATTTTGTTCTTTTTGGAGTTTCCAGTTTTTGATTTGTTTTCAGGCTAAGATCTAATGCTTGTAAAGCTAAATTCAAGGGTTCTTCTTGTGGTGGTGTCATGCTTGATAATATGACGAGACTGTTAGCAGCTGTGACAACATCATCAATGCTGCTGAGGTCTGTACTTACTGTTCTACTCTGTGTCTGAGAAATAGGATCTGGCTGCAGGGTTAGGTTTAAAGGTTTATCTATTTCAGACTGAGACTCATGTGATAGGTGGCTACAATCTTCCTTCTGTGGACTTTTGTCTGATAATTGAATGGATTCCTGGTCAGACATGTCACTTGTAACATTTGCCGACACTACCTCATCAAGTCTTCCCTTCTTCTCTGGGTGTTGCTTCAAGACATGCCTAATGCAGTTATTTTTTGTTGAAAAACCCAAACGGCAGACGGTGCAGCAAAACGGTTTTCGACTACAGCTGTTGTGTAGGGATCTCAAGTGATGTCTAAGGACACGGTTGAACTTAAAATCTACACTACAGTACTTACACACTGTTTCTGAATCACTCATCTTCGTGTTAATTTCTTTGGGTGATTTTAATTCAGCCATATTAGGATTGTATTGCATAGCACTTCGGATCTCCATCTTATTCACTTTCTTATGACGTTTCCTGACGTGACGTTCACAATTTGCCTTAGTGGTGAAGGCATATTTGCATATACCACACTGGAATGGTCTTTCTCCATTATGGGTTCGAAGGTGACGGATCAGAGTACTTTTGTCTAAACTAGTGTAAGAACACAGAGAGCAGGAATATGTTGTACAACCTTGAGAGTGGCACCTCTTGTGTCTTTTTAGAGCATTTGCACTTTTGAAGGAAAAATCGCAATGTTCACAAGGGAGCTCTCCATTTTCATTAGATTGAGCTTCAGTTTCAGATTCATTGTTATTTTCTAACTCTTCTCTGGAATCAGCATGGTCAGTTTTTGGTGACAAGATAGGAAGAACCGTGTCTGTGTCAGATAAGAGAAGAGGTTCAGGTGAAACGCTAGTGGCTACTTGAGGTGGTGAACCAGGTGAAGCAGCTACCGGAGAGGATCGAACATTGGACACCAAAGGAGCCTTTGATGTCACACACAAAATTGATTGGATATCAGCAAAATCTCCCACAGATTCAGTTGCTGTTCCTTTTATCACTTCCTCTTTAGGTTTTCCATGAATGAAATATGAAGGATTCTCAAAGTTTCCTTCTCGCGTTTCACGATTTGGTGCTGGTTTGAGCGCAACCTCTTCTCCCATGGTCTGCAATTCTAATAAAGCAAGAAAATCTTGTTTTCTAGGTTCTAATTGTTTTGACTCAAGATTTAACAAACCCCTATCTTTTCTTGTTTGATGTTGTTCTTCAAAACAATTTTCGGCTCCTTTATGTCTTAATTGATGTAACTTAAGAGAAAGTGGAGACTGAAAGTCACTTTGACAGCTTGGGCAATAGGTTGTAATTTTTTCATTATGATTCATTTTGTGGAGTCGAAGGGCACTTCCACAAGGAAATCCTTTGTTACATTCTGAACACTCAAAATTGTGAAAGGCACTACTCGGATGTCTCTTGTTTCGTTCACAATAAGTCTTTGCAATTAATGAAAATTTATCCAAAGAAAAATCAACAAATGTCAAATCCTGAAAACCTATGTAAGATGGAACTAAAGTATTTTGCAACTCACATTCTTTTACTTTTTCCTGATTGAGAAAACACGGTTGTTTGTAAGTTGCTTGGCTCTTTATGTTAACGTTACCCTCGTCGTATTTACGTGGATTATAATGATGTGTTTTCATGTGACTTTTGAACTCATGTTTTTCATTAAAACGTTTTCCACAGTCAGAACTATCATATGAATTGTTTTTGAGTGCATTTATAGTTTCATTATCTAAGCCTAAGTCTGATTTTTTCACAAGAGAAATTGGACCAGAGGAAAAGTGAGTCCCAGAAAGTTTCCGCTTCAATGTGGGTTTAGGCTTTGGTTCCTTTAGAGTTTTTGAGCTTTCCTGATTGTCTTCAGGGGTACCATGGGTTCGCATGTGGCGATGCATGTTTCCATTTGTGGTAAAACCCATATAACAAATTTTACACTTGAATGGGCGTTCTCCAGAATGCACAAGCATATGTCGATCTAAAGAACTAGTGGAGCTGAGAATTTTGCCACATAAACGACAGGTCCTGCTGTTATCATTAGGATTATGTTGACGAATGTGTATTGTGAATGCAGGAGAAGAGTTAAACATCTCACCACACAGTGGGCATGAGTAGGGGCCCTCTTGCTGTGGCGATTCTTCAAGTGTGTCCTGAAAAAAAAAATCCAAACATATTTCAGTCACCAAAAAGTAAAACAAGCCTATATTCATTCTAATGAGGCTTAATTTTTCATTCTTTCAAATATTAATTTAATAAAAAACAGTCACAAAATAGAAATACTGCTTTTAAAAATAAAGTAGTAAAACAAAAGCAACTTAATACATTTTTGATTATCAGGAAGGAGTACTGCAAAGCTACTGGCTACAGTGAAAGCAGGCAGTCAGCAGCACCTTATCACTCTCCATACACGCTAAGGCACTGACTGTCACTCTTATAACGTACCCACAGTTTAAAGTTCAGGGAATAGTATTGCAATGATGATCGTAGTTATGTTAACAATAAAAAAATCAGACCTAAAGACATGCAGCAGGTAGGACAACACAAACAAGTGCACCAAGATACAAAATATAGTGTGGGGGAATTGTAGAATGTTTCTTGGGTTTTGAGGTAGCTAAAGAAGTAGGACCGTCAACAAGATTTAACCTCAATTCGTATGCTCAATCTGTTACAAAAAAAAGTGAGTGCTCAAGCCCACACCGTCTCACATCTACGCCAACTTTCATTGTCTGCACCCAGTTGTGAGAAGGAAAATGAAGTTAAATCTAGTAGACTGTGTATCCCTGCCTATCGGTCCTACATCTTATAGTTCCCCACAGTATAACGTGTTGTCTTTCCTACTGCATTTCTTTAGGCCTTATTTTTGTAGTTATCATAATATGCTTTGAACTTAAATGAATTATATAACCTTTCGATCATTTCAGACTTACAAAACACATAAATATCAATTTAATGAAAATACCTTTCCGTCAGCATTTTCCAGTTCTTCTTCTTCTTCTGTGAAGTGCATTTCCTTTCCGTCTTCTTCTACTATCTGAGAAGAATCGTTTGTTTCTTCCATTGGAATGCCTTTATTCTCAGCAGCCTTGTTTTTCTTTTTAGTAGTTGTCTTCAACTTATCAATCTTATTTTCGCCATTTTTATCTGGATCCTCCATTTCAATTTTCTCTGTCGACACTGGATCTACCATTTCAATTTCTTCTGCAATTTCTGATAAACGATAAAAATACAGAAAACTAAAACTGAAATAGGTCATTGTTTTTTAAATAATGCAAACTAATCAAAATACTTTCATCTGAATACTGAATAAAATTTTTTTTTAGAAATGGCCTTTTACATAAATAAATTTCAAGTATTTATTGACCAATGCGATTTGTATAATATATAATTAGGTTTCAATAGTTCAGAATATTTGCCCCCCAGTGGCACAGTGGTATGTCTGCCGATTCATACTCCTAGAAACCGGGTTTCGATACCCGTGGTGGGCAGAGCACAGATAGCCCCTTGTGTAGCTTTGTGCTTAATAACAAACAAACAACAACAATCAAAATATTTTTAAAATACGCATTTTTTCACGCCAAATAGCTGTTTTTTTTGCATAAATACACCTAAAAATTGACTTTCAATGACTTCCATCTTTCTTTCTTAATTGAATAACAACAAAGATGTAATTAAGTAATGATTGCCCCCACACCAAAAAAAATTAGTTGTTCTTTAGAAATTGGCAGATGTTAGTTTCTTACTTGTTGTATAATGATCCTGTCAGTCGTAAACATTTTGTACGACCGATAAAATTATCAACTTATTACTAATAGTTGTGACTGCTCTTAGAATTTGAATTAGCACCTGAACTTTAGTCTTTAATTGAAATAATCACCTATTATATCCATTATGTGGACTTCCTTTTTAACATATCATTAATGTTTTGTATAAATTCAAACAATTAATTATACAAAAGACAAATACATACACAAATACTCCAAGTAATAATAAAACAACATACCAGTGCTTCGTAATTTGGGACCTTTCTTTTTTAGCTGTTGACTGACTGACAATGCATCCTGATTTTGTGGTTCTGGTTGTTTCATATTGCTCATTGTTTCTCCATAATAAGGATGCTGCTGAAGATCATCAGTATTTTGAAAAGTTTGAGGCAAATGGTCCTTTGAAATATCACAGATTTGTTTAGATTCATGGAATGACTTTTCTTGTGATGAATCTGAAAAATGATACAAGGACATTTAGAGCAGACCGTTTTTAATAAGAGTACACATTTTTATAGTTAATTCAAATAAATAACTTATATGCATAAGTTGTATTAAACTTTCGCTTAAACATTAATGGTCTTGTATTGAAAAACGTTACCTAGTTAATGGAAAGTTTTATGAATCACACTTTGAGTTTTAAGATTTGTTGGAAATACTTTTCGTATTTAACTAAGTATCTTGTTTTATCACCAGTGGTTTCATTACATCTACTAAGTATCTTGTTTTATCACCAGTGGTTTCATTACATCTACTAAGTATCTTGTTTCATCGCCAGCGGTTTCATTACATTTACTAAGTATCTTGTTTCATTGCTAGTGGTTTCATTACATCTACTAGGTATCTTGTTTGGTCGCCAGTGGTTTCATTACATCTACTAAGTATCTTGTTTCATCGTCAGGGGTTTCATTACATATAGTAAGTACCTTGTTTCATCGCCACTGGTTTCATTACATCTACTAAGTGTTACAAAATAATGATTAGTTTAAAAAAGTAGGTCTCCTCTTAATGAACTATCCTATGATGAGTAACTTGGAAAATACAAAACTGCAAAAGTTTGGCCTTGGAAATAATGAATTAAATTAGAATTTGAACGAGCTTAAAGTTAAATGTAGTGATATTTACTTCTACAATAATTTTTATGATGTTTCCTGTTAGTAATATGTCTCTTCAAACATAAAATAGATAAAATGAAGTATTGAAGTATCTTGATCAATTTTAATATCTCAGGAACCTGCTCTAGAGATCAATTTACTTATTACAGTTTTACAATAAAAACATTTCATTAATAATTGCTACTCTCATAATTATATAACTAAATATACAGTATAACGAAAACAGACAAGACTGGACAATTTCTCGCCTCATAAAATGGATGTTAAAATAATCACATTTTTCAATCTTGATTAATAAGAAAGAAATTTTAAATTATAATAATTTACCTTATTTTCAAATACATATAAAAGAGCCTGACAATGTAAAAATCAATATATTCAGTACATTCTAAGTGTACACGTACAAGGATTGGAAGAAAACACCTTATTGATGAAGACTTAGAAGTGACAGGCCCTAGTGAGATATGTGAAAGATAAATTCTGAGAAAAAGATTTAGTCGACATCATGCATGCACAAACAGCCTGCAGTGTCCACTGTTATCCATTACACTTAACATCACTGAACGGAAAAGAATCAAAGTATTGTGAAGCCGTAGAAACATTGGGATAGAAGCCATCTTGGATCCTACTGAAATCGCAAGAACTTTCGACAGTCATTCAAAGTTACAGCCGAATAAATTCAGAAACCCTTTAAATCCTAGATATCACAAGAATTACTTTGTTACTAGTGGAAATTTTATTACTATAAACTATGCTGTAGTGTGATCTGAGGATGAAAAAACGTTAATTAGAGGCATCACTAGAACTTTCTTAAAAGCCTCCTTTGATGTTTCAATCGTCCTTTTGAAGTTACTGATCAGCATAAAAGTAAGCGTCAAGAGCTGGAAAATAAGGGCGCTCTAGGTTCATTGGCATTTTGTTAAGATTGCGCTCGAATACTTGGATCTCTTAATGGCTGTTTGCTTTCGATAGTAAACCTAATAACCTTTATCTGGTAAATAATAAAAAATGAAAAATTCCTCAAAAAAAGGAACATAATCAATATCAGAACTTTATGACAAAATCAGTTCCCAAGCTTATTACATATGTAACATAATATATAAATGCATAATGTATTACGCAAAAACTCAAAGTTAAAGTAACTGTAACATCCTCTAGGTGGCGCAACAACAAACTTATTCAAATAGAAATTATACAATTATATACAATGGTAGCAGATTCATAGATATATAATTCTGGACTAAATACACAATTTCATATTGAAAAATGGAAGAAAATTCAAAGATTATTGCCAGACCTGGAAAATTTCAAAAGATAGTTTTTCAAGTTGGCGTCAACTTCTTTTAATGCGATTGTAAAAGGTTTACGAAGTCCCATAGATCTCACATTTGATATGACATTAACTTCCCAAAAGAAAAAAACCTACCTTTTACAACATCTGAGAAAGGTGACATTCTAGTATGACTTACGCTAACATTACCTTTATTGTCTTTACACGTATTGAAGTCAGCAACAGATGCTTAAAATGACTCTTCTCAGCGTGTATTTCAGGCTTCTAGATTATATCAATTATCTCATAAAAATGAAATAAGTTAAAAATAGTTTCATGTAGCTATTCGGTTAATACTCTACCTCTACATCACACTGATAAGGAAATACAGAGTTACGAAAAACAGTTAGTGGACTGTATAGAGTTACTTAACACGAGATAAAATAGAAAAACCCGAAACTTCCCAAAACTATTCTTTAAGACAAATAACAGTAAAGATATGAGCATGAAAAATGAAGTTTTATCAAAAAATAGTACGTGGACAGTGTCCACTCACGAATCTAACATTAAAGACAATATCATTTTCATGAATTTCCAACTGCGAAAAAAATAGGATTCAAGAATCTGGCTAACCCTGGCATGTATTAATGAAGCTACATAGAGTTCAAAACATTTGCAATTCCTAAAAAAAAGCCTTTTTTATCGCTTCATAAGTGCATATTGCATTCCTAGGTACCATACTCTGTAAATTATATTTTATTTTTTCTGGGTATATGACGTATTTGTTCACACTTTCAACAGATTTATAAAATAATAAAAAGGTGTCGCTGTAACCAGGTTAGAGTTTGGGTTGTTAAATGGGCTAACAAGTTTAAAACAAAACATAAAAGTAGAATATATCCAAACAGTTACACGAGGTCTAGAAACACTGGCAATGTAATAAAAACAAATCAAAGATGATTACTATCCAAACAGTTACACGAGGTCTAAGAAACACTGGCAATGTAATAAAAACAGACCAAAGATGATTACCATCCAAACAGTTACACGAGGTCTAGAAACACTGGCAATGTAATAAAAATAGACCAAAGATGATTACCATCCAAACAGTTACACGAGGTCTAGAAACTCTGGCAATGTAATAAGAACAAACCAAAGATGATTACCATCCAAACAGTTACACATGTCTAGAAAAACTGGCAATGTAATAAAACAAACCAACAGCTGAAAACATAGTTGAAGAAACATGATCAAAGAAAGTTTTTGAAAGATTCAATATTACATAGTTCACAAGTTCTTCCTATATGCCCAGCGTTTTATGATGTCAGGAGTAGCGTATTTGCATACATACACACATGTATACATATAAAAATATAGAAAAAAAACGAAACCATAAAATCATACCCTAAATAGTTAATGCTGAAATATTTAATATGTAAATTTGTTTAATGTAAACATTGAAGTTTTCAAAATAAACAGTCGCCAGAACGACAGTATGAAACTTTTGACGAAAATTAACTTTTATTGCTTCGATTATTCATGTTTTCAAACGAGCAGTTGGATAAGGTTTACTAACTAATAGTTGGGTAGCTTAAAATGACTCACTCGGACGAGACGAAACAAGCAAAAGTTAGTGTGGATCGTCACGCGATCTCAACGTAGATAATAATATGATAATCCACTATTTTCAGTTAACAAATTATATCATTATCAAATTATGCTGTCCTGATTCTGTGTCAGCATTAGTTCCAAAAAAAGAAAAAAATCACAGACCTTAAGTATGAAGAACACGTCGTTCTTAAACATTTGAAGCGTCATAAACCAGCTGTGTGTATAGCAGGATCTTAAGTATAATTCAACTGTTTAAGAACGACGTGTACTTTCAACTGTTTAAGGACGACCTGTTCTTTATACTCAATATCCTGTTATACATACGACTTGTTTATGACGCACACAGCAGATTTGTGGTCCGTAAAGCAGGATCTTAAGTATAAAGAATAAGATGTGTGAACTGCTTGTAAATACACATGATTGATGTCATAATTCATGCACTTTATTCATGAAACATTTAATTACTTTCTTACAATATTCATACACATTTTTAGCAAATAGGTCATATCAATTTATCATAGTTAACATATTCTAGCTCCCAGTGTCTCAGCTGTAAGTCTGAGAGCTCACACCGTGAAAACCTGGTTTGATACTCGTGGTGGGCACAGCATGGATAGCCCGTTGTGTAGCACTGTGTTTAACAACAATAAAAAATCTAACGAGTTATTAACAGATTTCACACACAAATGTTGATCCATGTTGTATACTTCTGAACAGACAGTCTGTCTAAAAAGGATTAATTCGCAGATGTATACTTAGAATACCAATATTAAGATCCCGGTCATTTTCATATAGCATATTTACAATGTGTTCAATGGGTTATTTTGATACATTATTGTAAAGCTCAGTTAAATAAGTCACAGCTGTCATGACGGTTAATATCAGTCATTGCTACTTATTATTTTTCAGATCAATACAATAGGTTTTTATGACAAATTATCGTTAAGATACGTATAATATGTAATGGACTGGTAGAAATATTTCCATTACATGTTGCATCGTATTGCCGTTACAGGACAACAAAGAGTTTACGTTGGTATCCTAGAGGTCAAATACGTCAAGTTCCGCAGTTGTATGTACAATTGACATGTTGGGAAAATTGTCAAAATACGATTTCTCCTGTGTTTTTTTAGCACAGCACTTTTATGTACAGGATCAATAAAAAATCACAAGACTAGCTCTATATGTAATTCACAATACGTTTTCTCACATATTATAAAAACAATAAAACATTTCAACGTTTATCAAGGATACAGCGCCGCCGTTTACGTCCAATGCACACGTGCGTAGGATTTTTTACACAGGAAAATGTTTAAACTGAAATCATGAATACAACATAAAGTGAAGCATAAAGGGTTAGAAAATAACTAGAAAGTTAAGAAACATTTCTCTATAATAACGGAGCATATGCTAACCGGTACTCTTGTTTATGTGTGCGTTTAATAATGATAATAAAGTA